TAAGTCTAAGTTTCAAATAGAAGATTATCTGATGAAATTAAATAAAAGAGACAGGAAGTATATTTCAAAATTACGTACATCAAATTTGCATTTACCCATAGAAACAGGGCGATGGAACGGTACACCTCGTAAGGATAGAATGTGTAATTTGTGCTCTAGAGATCTTGGCGATGAGTATCATCATTTATTTATTTGTGAACATGAATTGGTATGTCAAATCCGACATTCATATATTCCAAAATATTACTGTATATATCCTAGTCGTACGAAAATGGAAGGTCTTTTTTCTCTGTGTAACGTTCGTTTGCTAATTCATATGAATAGATTTCTAGAAAAACTTGAAAAACTTCTGAAAAATATGAAAACTCAACGTATATATGTATACATGTATCAAAGCTGTTATTATTGTGTTCCGCCATGTTTAATATTTGTTGTTTATATGTGACCTCTTGTAACACACTCTGTGTGTCTGAACGTACAATAAAATCTGAAATCTAAAATCTGGCAAACTGGGAATACCCCCCGTATTGCTAGAGCTCAAAGTCTGGCTGTGAACCACTAAGTACTGCTGTTGCTCTAGCAACACTTATAATAGTGAAAAAAAACTTTATTTTACAATAATTGCGACGCAAGTTTTTTCAGCTTAAATTAGTAACTCTTGTTGACCCAGATGGAAGCTTGCGAAGGGTGTTTACCGTGTACAGTTCTCATCGATCACACATGTATGTGTATATAATATTTGTATTTCCCCACATCGTTACAACTGGTACAGAGATATACAATACATAAACAGTATCAGAAATGCATTGCGCATGCGTGACTATACAGAGAGAATAATGTAGCATAGATGTAATGTACTTTCTGAAAATTAAAATTACTTAGGGGAATACACGTGGTTAATTTTCTTTTTAAAAATTCAGGAATGGAGAGAAGGTAGGATGGGGTGAGGGGTAGGGGTAGGCGTTTGATGCACGGTATTTTTAATTACATGTATATACTTTGTACCGAAGCTCAAGGCAGCTGTTGAATGTAGATATTACAATCTAGGAACATTATTCTCTTCTACTGTATCAACATATGTATGTCACAACGAATGAATTGATAAAGATTTAGGCATGTCTGAACCGTATACAGTAAGTTAATCCCTGTCGCCCGTCATCGCGGCGATGTCCCGGTGGACTGATATAGGCATGTCTGAACCGTATACAGTAAGTTAATCCCTGTCGCCCGTCATCGCGGCGATGTCCCGGTGGACTGATATAGGCATGTCTGAACCGTTTACAGTAAGTTCATCCCTGTCGCCCGTCATCGCGGCGATGTCCCGGTGGACTGATATAGGCATGTCTGAACCGTATACAGTAAGTTAATCCCTGTCATCGCGGCGATGTCCCGGCGGACTGACATAGGCATGTCTGAACCGTATACAGTAACGTAATCCCTGTCGTCCGTCTTCCCCGCGATGTCGCGGCGACTGAATCTACCAATTTATCCCGCGAACTCTCCGCGATTCCGCCGCGGTTGTCAGCAAATCGGTCGCTCCCGCAGGGTTAGAGATCCAAATCACCTTAACTATACTGTATGCAGAACGAATGCAGTGGAATCACAGAAAGCAATAGGCATTGGTAAAGTGATAAAGTAGCTTTGTTGATGTGATTGGCAAGGTTTCAAGACGAGAAAAAAAGCCCAAAAACAAGTGTTAACTGTAATTACACCTGCGCCGATCTAACCACTGACCAATAACCAATGTCCAGAGGATGGGAATTTAAACGGTGGCCCGTGTGAGGGTCCAATCTCGCACGCTGAAGATCCCTCTGTGGTTTTTCGAAAAAGAGAAGGCGTGATAAGAAGACGGAAACCCTGTCAATCAATCAATCAATCAATCAATCATTGTCTCCGTTAGGATCTGAAACCTGGACACTGGGGTCAGATTGAGCTACAGAGAAATTCGCTCTACTCGAGCGACATATATGTAAACAGATAGGCTATCAAGGTTACAAGCGGATCCAAAGATTGAACCAGCATTTGCCTTTTGGCTTGATATTAATACTCTTCAGTTTTTTACGTTAATGTTCGTGACGAGTGAAGAGGTACATTAAGAAATTTTAATATACTTTTTAGATACTTTTGATCAAATAGCTCGAGAAACGTTTCTATTTTAGTGGTGATAAATCTAATGTAATGAGTAAAAATAGTTTCTGAAAAATATTTTTTCAAATAATTAAGCTCTCGATATATTTAAATTCTATATGCTGACTTTTTGAGAAGACACAGAGAAAACACTTTTAATTCATATTGACTGTGTGCCGATTGCGCCTCCTAGCAGCTAACACCGATAAGTTCTATTTTTTTGCATGAATACCTTGGTGCTCGGCCATCATGATATCACATTAGTTTAATTAAAATTAGATACTATAGAGCCAAGCCAGAAATTGAACTGTAGAATTCACCTGATTCGTTCGTCGAGGACTCGTCAGTGATACTATGGGTCTAAATTTTAAAGCCTATGAGGCGGGTGGGAAAAATTCAAAGTGATTGAAATAAATATCATTGGAAGGTGCATGACTGAATGAATTCTGTTAAATATTCGAGATTTATATTTTATTACTTGATCAAAGTTCAAAGACCTTTTGTTAATAAGGTTGTTCTATATGTTACAGATAACCTCTTCTACACCACCGTTTACCACGCCAGGGATTCTTCTATACCACCGTCTACCCCGTCAGGGACCATTCTATACCACCGTTTACCCCGTCAGGGACCATTCTATACCACCGTCTACCCCATCAGGGACCATTCTATACCACCGTTTACCCCGTCAGGGACCATTCTACACCACCGTTTACCCCGTCAGGGACCATTCTACACCACCGTTTACCCCGTCAGGGACCATTCTATACCACCGTCTACCCCGTCAGGGACCATTCTATACCACCGTTTACCCCGTCAGGGACCCTTCTACACCACCGTTTACCACGTCAGGGATTCTTCTATACAACCGTTTACCCCGTCAGGGACTCTTCTGTACCACCGTTTACCACGTCAGGGATTCTTCTATACCACCGTTTACCCCGTCAGGGACTCTTCTGTACCACCGTTTACTCCGTCAGGGACCATTCTATACCACCGTTTACCCCGTCAGGGATTCTTCTATACCACCGTTTACCCCGTCAGGGACTCTTCTATACCACCGTTTACCCCGTCAGGGACTCTTCTGTACCACCGTTTGCCACGTCAGGGACCATTCTATACCACCGTTTACCCCGTCAGGGACTCTTCTGTACCACCGTTTACTCCGTCAGGGACCATTCTATACCACCGTTTACCCCGTCAGGGATTCTTCTATACCACCGTTTACCCCGTCAGGGACCCTTCTATACCACCGTTTACCCCGTCAGGGACCATTCTATACCACCGTTTACCCCGTCAGGGACCCTTCTATACCACCGTTTACCCCGTCAGGGACCCTTCTATACCACCGTTTACCCCGTCAGGGACCATTCTATACCACCGTTTACCACGTCAGGGACCATTCTATACCACCGTTTACCCCGTCATGGCCTCTTCTATACCACCGTCTACCCCGTCAGGGATTCTTCTATACCACCGTTTACCCCGTCAGGGACTCTTCTGTACCACCGTTTACTCCGTCAGGGACCATTCTATACCACCGTTTACCCCGTCAGGGATTCTTCTATACCACCGTTTACCCCGTCAGGGACCATTCTATACCACCGTTTACCACGTCAGGGACCATTCTATACCACCGTTTACCCCGTCATGGACTCTTCTGTACCACCGTTTACCACGTCAGGGACCATTCTATACCACCGTTTACCCCGTCAGGGATTCTTCTATACCACCGTTTACCCCGTCAGGGACCATTCTATACCACCGTTTACTCCGTCAGGGACCATTCTATACCACCGTTTACCCCGTCAGGGACCATTCTATACCACCGTTTACCCCGTCATGGACCATTCTATACCACCGTTTACCCCGTCAGGGACCCTTCTATACCACCGATTACCCCGTCAGGGACCATTCTATACCACCGTTTACCCCGTCAGGGACCCTTCTATACCACCGTTTACCCCGTCAGGGACCATTCTATACCACCGTTTACCACGTCAGGGACCATTCTATACCACCGTTTACCACGTCAGGGACCATTCTATACCACCGTTTACCCCGTCATGGACTCTTCTGTACCACCGTCTACCCCGTCAGGGATTCTTCTATACCACCGTTTACCCCGTCAGGGATTCTTCTATACCACCGTTTACCCCGTCAGGGACCATTCTATACCACCGTTTACCCCGTCATGGACTCTTCTATACCACCGTTTACCCCGTCAGGGATTCTTCTATACCACCGTTTACCCCGTCATGGACTCTTCTATACCACCGTTTATCCCGTCAGGGACCATTCTATACCACCGTTTACCCCGTCAGGGACTCTTCTATACCACCGTTTACCCCGTCAGGGACCATTCTGTACCACCGTTTACCCCGTCATGAACTCTTCTGTACCACCGTTTACCACGTCAGGGACCATTCTATACCACCGTTTACCCCGTCAGGGACTCTTCTATACCACCGTTTACCCCGTCAGGGATTCTTCTATACCACCGTTTACCCCGTCAGGGACCATTCTATACCACCGTTTACCCCGTCATGGACTCTTCTATACCACCGTTAACCCCGTCAGGGACCCTTCTATACCACCGTTAACCTCGTCAGGGACCCTTCTATACCACCGTTTACCCCGTCAGGGACTGTTCCTATTGGCTGAGGTAGATTTAGCTTCCCTAAATAAAAATGGATTTTTATGGTAGAAATCGTTCCCTATTACATTATTTTGCATGATAAATGTCGACTGCTGGTAAATAAACAGACTATTGTCTTGAGATGCAGGTTGATGACGACCATGATGTAGTATCAAACGATGGTATTTACTAGAACATTACCCATGATGTACCGTCTCTTATAATTTATACTCACATTATAATCCGTAGTCTTCCTTTCTGACTTCCACGGATATATTAGTGAACAACTTATTATGTTCTATTTTAAGTAGCTTGTATTTCAGACTGTTCAGTCCGTCAGACTGCATTCGTGATGAAGTATTTTGCAGCAGGGAAAACCTGAAATTGACATATTTGTGTTATGATTTATAAAACACAGAATACTTACCTATAATTTTGTTCGAGTTCATGTCATGGAGACAAATTAAATTCTACTAAAAAATCTGCAGAGAATACCTATCAGGAAATTATGTACATGTTTATTTCTAAAGATGTGAGCAGAAATTTATCATAATCATATCCAGTTATCATAGAAACCAAAAATCAGTGACCTAAAAATAGTTTGTCGATGAGTTTAATTAAAACATTCTCTCTAACCAATTTATATCCTCACGAGTTGCTCAATAGAAACCCTGGTGTGTGATGATAAAAGTTATCGTCCTTTTCTTCTGATATGGGAATGGTAACATACCTTTTAGGATTCACTGCGTTGGTTTTATCTCGACCGTGTTTGATCATTCTGTAGCGGGCTATTGTCTTACTGTACCGCTCTATTTTAAAACCTGCTCGGACCACTCTGCAAATCAACGACAGGTTCCCATGCATTAAATCTAATGTAAACTTCAGTTTTTTCCTGTCCCCGATAAATAACGCATCCGTTTTGAAATTGATTGCTGTTCAAATTTAAATTATAGTAGCATAATAACAAAAACACAATACTCTAAATGATAGAAATCTCACACATGTGACCACAGAGATTTTAAAGTAAATTCCACATTCACGGACCATATATGTGTTTATAGGCAATACATATATATATATATGGTAGGATGGGTGCCATTACATTGCTTGTATATTAGTTACTACAGAATGTTTTACCAACATTCATACAGACCATAAACATTTACCTCTGATAAATGTCGTCATCTTCTCCTCCCCATCCAAAATATAAGTTCGAACAGCCATTCATTTTTTCAATAGTACTTCTCGGCAGCTGAGAAACACCACCAAAATAGGATTGGTAAGGTAGCCTGAAATGGTTCAAATTACTGTAAAGGTTGTTATTTTCGAGATTTTTTTTTATATCTATAAACTAGTAATATATTTTAATAATTGTGAAATGTAATATAAAAAGAAAACTATAACATATTTCATGACTAATCGAAATATACATTGATCAAATTCAATGCTTTCCCGATTAACATCATATATATATTTTACGAATATAATAGAATATTTATATATTTTTTATAATTCATTATTTTTATCATTGCGTTTTTATCAAAAAAAAAAAAAACAATGAAAAAGCCGATTCATATATAAAATGAAGGGATATTCACAGACATTTGGGAAGTATTAGAGCGTTCTCTGATGTCAGACTTTACGTTTGACAACAAAACGGCACAATTATGAATTGGTTACTTTACATTGTTTTCTACCATTTTACCCAATTTCTACCAGAGTTATCGTTCCTTAACAATCACATTACGTCACTACAAACGACCGCATTCCTGACAACACCAATGAAGGAACCACATGTAAACTGCTTTGCAAGCCACATGAGCTTTAGCAATAGCATGAGCGATTTCGGGGAAGAAAAGTGACGATATTGTAACCAATATTACTATCAATTATCACGGATGTCCTAGTACATAAACAGTGCAAAATATACACACGTCGGTGTTGCAAGATTACTTGCATCGTCATTTCAGTGATGATAAAATGTTTTATCAAATTTCTATATTTCTCTGGAAAAAATGTCATAAAAGTTTTTTTTAACAAATCGATAAAATTCCTATATTTCTCTGAAAAACTCAGAGACGTATATATACGTCTCCGGAAAAACTGTATGAGATCTCCTCATCAAACATGAATGATTTAATCAAGAAGAAAATCTACCTGCTCATACATATATTGCTGATATTGTGTGGTTACTAACTTATGTATGGTGATATAATGATCACTAACTCTAACGTGTTAGTGAAAATACAGCAATAATCAGAATGGCCGTACCTATAGTTGTATTTATCCATCGCTGCCACCAGGTGGCGAGGGTTTGGTCCACATCCGTAGTAGATACGATCATCCTCAGGGATGAGATCAACATCATGGAAGATGAAACAGTTGTAATTGTAGGCTTTGATGGACTCAACGAACCCAATGTTGAGTAAAGCACCTCTATTAAATGTAATATTTCCCACCTAGATTGACCAATGAAAGTCGTACATATATCATTGTTTGAAATACTAGTCAATATCATTCAAAAACGTATGTAACACACGTTCGGAAGGCCTTCAGATATATCATGCTACATATAAGTACACACAACGTTGTACAAACAGTTACTATTAGACATCATATGTGACGAACGGACAGCTCAAGAGGGAGTTTCTTATTTCTGTGTTATATATGCCCTACGTTCTTATAAGTAGTAAGTGAAGTAACCAATGCAGATTATTATCATTATCATTATTATTATTAAAGTGTTATTATCTATTTACAAAATGTACACAAGAGGTAATTAGTAAATACATCAGATGTCAGCCATTGTTAAACCAATTCTCTTTAGTGGGACCTCTATTTCAGTCAGTTAGATATCGTACAAACAAGTGAATAACACCTGCTTATACAAATTTAGAGTTAAACAGAGCCAGATTATTCATTAAACTGCATTATACAGCTATTCCATCCTTAAAGAACTAGTCAGCGATGATGAAGGCCTAAATTTGGAAGCACAACAGGCGGCTGAGGAAAATCCAAAGTGAGCGAAAGAAAAAAATCAAAATCTAGATGGGGATATGGACTAGTTCCATAATTCAATAATTTTTTGTAAGTTTCACTTCAAGTCCAACAGCAATGTCTATCACCTGCAATCTCGAATATTGTACAAAAGACACACAATTGAATAACACCTTTTAATAAAAATTTCGAACTAGAATTAGGCCAAATAATGAAGTAAACTGCGCCTTACAGCTGGTTTGTCTTTCTAGGACGCGTCAGTGATGCTAAGGGCCAAAATTTTGAAGTCTAGAAGGCGACACGGAGAAAACTAAAGTGATCGAAATCTGCGGTGTCTTGTTTGATGCTCCCTAACCGTGGCGGTCTGTTATTCCCAGAGAGCTAAGAAACTAGCCTTTCTATACTAATATGTTTTTGTCTTTGGGCTAATTGCTCTGGATGGCATACTACGGACTGTGTGAATTTTTATCTATGAGGTAGCTACTACTAGGCAGCCTCGCCTTAAAAATGACACTGGGTGTTTATGGAGCAATGAATCCAACAAGAAGTAATTCATTTGGAGTTTAAATCATGATTTATTTTTCATAAGGGTTTCTTTGCATTAAGAATTGCATGGTATTTATCGATAATACTTGCGAGAACTTGTCTAGCTGGATTGATCTATGTTGATAGCACCTAAACTTTTTGTTGGCAACATTCGTTTTTGTCAATAAACATCAATACTCAAAACTAAAAAAACTGGTGAGTCCTCGCTATCTGTATGGACATGTTAAAGATGTGATATTTCGTGTGTCGTCTTCGAATATTTCATGAAAGTTCCAAAATTTCCCCACATCAGAATTTGCTTCAGCCTCATTTTGAGTTGGTTGTGACAAAACAAAAACAAAAATTCAACACATTTTTTTTTCAAGTAGGTTACCACAATTAAAGATCGCAGGCATATCGTCTGCAGAGAATACCAACTCTGTGCGTATTACCTCGTCAATAGCATTAATACAAATATTGGAAATTTCCAGCGTTTCATTATTGCAGATTCAACTTACATAATTAGCCAGGAGAACAATATAAAAAAGAAAGAGATGTTACTTTTCGGCAACCAAATTTGATAACAAACTAGACATAAAAATACCAAATCTCTAACACGAATCAAATATGATTCGTTTTCAAAATCAACGAAGAAAACACTGTCATGTCATCAGAATATTAATTCAAACTCAAATTCGATGACACTAAGGAAATTGGAACAAAAGAAAGATTTACAAGGACACACCTGAAAATGCACAACAAGTCAAGGCAATGTGAAGGGAAGGCTGCTTTTTCTTCATCAACGACGACCATGGTTAACAGTAAAAGGTTAGATGGTAGAATATAAATTCATAAGTTTAAGCCGGAGGTGTGTTTTGGCTGATGATGCTGATAAACGAATAGTTAACAGTCATTAATGCTATAAACAGATTTCTTGAGTATTACCCACTATTTATACACAAAACAGACATATACCTATTAAAGATCTAGAAATATTTGTTTTCATTGTAAAAACACTACATGTACTTAGTATATAGAAATCACTAAGTTCATTCAGTAATGAATTTGATTACCTGTTCAATGACGAAGATTCCATAGTCAATTTGTTGTTTCATAAGCATGCTGTGGAGATTGTGTAGGAGCGATCTCAATTGAGTCAGTCTGTTTCTATAAGGGACGAGAACAGCGACACGCTGTTCCGTGTGACATTCTGTCGGAGTAAAACGTCCCCCATTCTTCACGTTTTTCAGCTCTTTCTCCAGTTGCTCAAAAGAAAGTATCTCCTTGTAGGTTGCTAATAGGCCAACTGGAAAGAAATCACAAAGCAACTCGCTTTAGGATCGATGAAGCTAAATTCCCAAGAAAAAACTAAACCACCGGATCAGCCATTGTTTACATTCTGAATACATATCATAATTAGTGTTGTATGATGTGATGTTTATGACCAAGGTACATGATCCTTTAAGGTCGCTCTCAAAACAATTTAGAAGATTATGTGTTAATATGTTAAATGTCACACAAAAGACAAACAAGTAAAAAATAACACATTTCAATACAAAACGACTGATTACGAACTTAACTGTGTCGTGGAGTTGTTCGTCTTTCATCAAATAATGTAAAAAAGGCATACATATGAATAACACCTTTTAATTCAGAGTTTGATACAGTAGAGTGAATCAATGAATTAATGCATCATACGGCTGTGTCATCCTTTTAGGACTCGCCAAAAGCATAGTTTATTATGCCTACGAGTATACTGATGAAAATCCAGAGTGATCGAAAGAAAAAAAATGAAAAAAAAAAAAAAAAAAATGTGGAGGTCCGCTAACCTCCTAATTCAATAAACTTCGCAGTTTTTCTTATGATATAATAAAATAGTATTATATTGAACGAAGTCAAGAACATATGTATATTATGAACCGGGTCAATATTCCAGTGAATCCAAATAAAAAGTCATGATATGACAATGAATCAAGGTTATTTCATCGTCCTTTTTATCCACGAAAAGTTGGAAAGATAAGGCTGTTTCCCTTTACGCCAACTCTGCAGAACATCAAAGGGATTATTTTTCTATTGTTCAAGATAATTGAGGGGCCCCAAGAAGGGGTACTTGGGGTGGTATACAGGTAAACTCAGGAAAACATATCTGATAAATACTTGTAACAGTTTTAAGGTAAGTAATAAGAAATTCAGACATAATATAAATTTAATCCATTTTATTTATTTTATTAATATGACATTAATGATAGACCATATGAAGATTACAATTAATAAACATTAATAAGCATATTATCATTTAAATTAAGCACAGAAATCATTTTTTATTTTTAGTTTTATAATGTAGCACTAAATTCAACATATAAAGTATGATGCAGTCGCTGTATTTATACAGAGTGCAGTTGGCTTGGAGTGTTCAGTGTGATAAGTATTCAGGTTATCTGCTTATTCGGTTATTCGCCGGGAAAGCTGAAACTATCAAGGATAATGCTAAAGGTTATGTAGGGGGTAGTAACTAACCGTGTTATAAACATTTCTGTATATCTAGGCCGGACAAAGTTGTCCTCATAGGCGAACATTCTGCTTCAGGCTAAAAATGGCCATTGTCACAGGAGAAAGTTGGAAAACACGTAGTTACTAAGAAAAATCAGTTCGGCAACCTGTACACTAACTGGCAAGGCAGGTCCCTCACTTTTATTTACAGTGACGATTGTGTTGACAATTCATTGATGGATAAGTAAGTTTTGATAATATTTTCTATGGCATTTGTGTCTAAACTCGTGTCCTTCTAATAAGCAAAGCATTATAGAAAGCCTTTCTGTCTGGTCAACGTTAAAATTCATATGGTCATACCATGTGTACATATAAAGATGATGGGTGAATAATAGGAGGGATGGGGGTGGGGGTGGATGGCAATGTTTTAATTTAAATGCGTATTTATCTCGTCATAACATGGTAATTATCTCATCAAAGTAAGTATTTATTTCGTTGTAACAGTAATTATCCCAACCAAGTAGGTATTTATCTCGTTATAACATAGTAATTATCTCATTAAAGTAAATTTTTATGTCGTTATAACATGGTTGATGGCAAACGATTTCTCGTTCTTATTATTGTTCTCTTCCGAAATTTTTGAAAATGAAATGTAATGAAATTTTGTCAGCAGCATTCCGTGATCAATTGCTACGGAATGTATAAATAAGACCTTGTCTGAAAACTTTTATTTCGGTAACAGACTTTGAATAACCTCTTGTCCAAGTTCCACAAGGTCTAGAGTCTTGATGTTTCATATTTAGGAAGCTCGTGTCATTGTTAATATAAATAAACGTGACCTACTTCAAATGTCACATGTATTAATTATGATAAAATCATTAAATAGTGTTTTCTCAATAACCAAGAAGTACATGGTGATGACATATTGTCAATAGCATACATTGATCAATTTCTATGTAATGTAATAATAAAAGTTTGTCCGCAAACTCAACTCACAGTTTTCGATAGTGGCCAAATTTGAAAATTGCAACGTAACAAACTTTGAAAAACTTCTTCTTAAGTTCCATAATGCTTAGAGCCTGGATATTTCATATTTACTAAGCTCTTGTCATTGGCTGTAAACTTTGATAATATAAATGACTTTGACACACTCTCAAGGCCTCATATTGAATTATTTGAAAGACTTATATGGTATTTTCTCAACAACCAAGAGGCACTGAAGGGTGAAATATTGCCAGTAGAATACCGTGATCAATTGCTATTGATTGTATTTATCATTCCCTACATGAAACTGCAATTTCCGGTTCTCGATAGAGGTCAATATTAGAAATATGTCTTGAGTAACAAACTTTGAAGAAGTTCCAAAAGGTCTAGAATATAGATACTTCATATGTTGGATGTCCATGTTATTATCTATCAGATTTAAAAATATAAATGATTTTGACCTGACCTACTTTAAAGGTCACAAAGGTCAATTTTTGTTTAAAATCTTAAATGATTTTTTTTGATATTGGTCATTTGCATATTGATATTAGTAGAAAAAAAAATTGTGTCAAAAGTCAACTTCCGGTTTCTGATGGGGGCACATTTACTGAAAGTTTTGTTTTCGGAAAGCACAAATAATATGAAGTTATACAGTTTGGATATGTAATATATAAATTGCTTTAATGATTGGCTATCATATTTGTGGAAATGACACAGCTGAGAGTTAACTATCTGGTATCTATTGCATTTTTGCTGCTCACATGGTGAACAAATGCACAAGAGTAAACATCCTAGTGCACTATGGTCTGAACTCCAGTGCACAACGGTGTCAACTCCAGTTAACTACTGTGCTGGTTGTAACTGAAGTGTACTATTACTTTTACACCAATGTACACACAGTGCGAAGAATGATCATCAAATAGGTAACATCCTACACAAGTAAGATAGAGGGAAGATTGTTGAATCTAGAAATGAAAATGTAGGTATAGAACTATATTGTATGGTATCCATAATGTGGTTAAAACATCGATGTTGATTTGTGTTTATGTAATGTATCAATTAGTATATATATATAATATTTGTATTGAAATACAATGTATATTAAATATACATAAACATTGAAATTGACCCAAATAATTTCAGAGTAAATTCGTCTGGTAAGTTGTATAGGTATATATTGAATAATTGGTTAATAAAATGATCTGAAACCTATAATATTATAACTGACACAGTTTAGTTGTCGTCCTGGCCTTAGCACTTTTGATACTGTTTTTGTACTACACTCAATAATTACAAAATCTTTTAGCGAAAATAAACGACTTTATTGCTGTTTTGTAGATTTTAGAAAAAAGTCTTGATTATGTTGATAGGATTAATCTATGATACAAATTATCGAAATAAGGCGTTTAAGGAAAACATTTGATTATTAAGTCATTACACGAACATGTAAAGTCTTGTGAAAAATTTAATGGTAGTTATTAAAATTGAAAAAAAAATAATATCGGATTATTACAGGGGGAAATTTTGTCTCCGGTACTTTTTTCTATGTGCGTAAATGATTTTGAACCTTTTTTTATTTCGGAATGCACTAGTCAGTATACCTTTGAGGAATTAAGCTTATTTCTTATGTCATATGCAGACCACTTAGTTTTATTTTCAGAGACTGTTGAGGGTTTACAAGAATTACTGGGTACGCTTGCTAGTTACTCTGTACAATGGAATTTGACAGTAAATAATGTGGTATTCCGAAAAAGGTGGGAAAATTCGAAATGAGGAAATTTGGTTTAATAAGGTAAAATAGTCACTTGTGTAGATCAATTCACATAATTGGGTGTTTTATTTAAGATTAATAGTATTGAGAAACAACTATCTGATCAGGGACGTAAAACAATTTTTGCTTTATTTTCAAAATTCTCAAATGAAAGTCTTAATCTTAATTGTAAAACTATGTTACATTTGTTTCATACCTATGTTACTAGCATACTGTGTTATGCCTGTGAACTATGGAGATCTACTAAAGGTCCTGACATCGAGAATGTACACTTGACCATTTGTAAGATGTTTGGTGTTGGCAGATGAAATATTTAGCTTCCAGGACAGGGAATCAGAGTAGGATGGATTGTTTCTATTTGTCCACTTTTTATGTGACAAAGAAAATAAATTGTTTTACAAAGACAATAGCAAATAATTAATTTAAGTAATATCCATACCAACCATATATTTCACCTGAGTTAATTTAACTGAGTTTTAAAAACTATTTTCTCGGTTACTATGTATATTTTACTTAATGTACCAATTAATCCTTTTAAGTTAATAAAATAATACAATACAGTGTCAAATTACCCGAAATGAAATACATCCAGTATTATTACGCTTGATGATACACATTACATACAATGATGTAAAATGAATAGCATATATTGGTTGATATACGGGAATGGGTGGGTAATTGTATCATCTATATATGGCATGGAGAGGTGAGACTATGTAATCTGGCAATATCTAATCAACCTTTAAGTTTGAGCAGTATTCTGGCATCTCGTGCATTGTTTGCAATTATATATGTAATTTAATTATTTAAGAATATCATGCATGGAATCAAAATTATAAATCAAAAATAGCTAACTTGGTTAACTTGATTGAATCAAGAAACGAGAGGATATTGAGTACATTATACGCAAAAAGGGTAGAAATTAAGTGGCCTCATTATACAAATTACAGCTGATTCCCTGAACGCCAACATTTTAAAACAAAAAAGTGTCCAGGGCAATTATAGTCTATTTCCTTGAAGTAAGGTTAAGTTACCTGAGTTTTTTTTACCTGTATTCTACC